TTTATACACAATGGAATTTTACGCAGCCATGAAGAAGAATGAAATCTTACCATTCACAAGCAAATGGGAACTGGAGAACATCATCCTGAGCGAGGTTAGCCAGGCCCAGAAGACCAAAAATCGTATGTTCTCCCTCATATGCGGACATTAGATCAAGGGCAAACACAACAAGGAGATTGGACTCTGAGCACATGATAAAAGCGAGAGCACACAAGGGAGGTGTGAGGATAGGTAAGTAACCCAAAAAAAACATATATATATAGCATTTGATGTCTTCAATGCAAAGGAACTAATGCAGAAACTTTAAAGCAACAGAGTCCAATAGGAGAAGGGGACCAGGAACTAGAGAAAAGATTAGTTCAAGAAGAATCAATTTAGAAAGTAACACATATGTACATGGAACCAAAACTAGGACTCTCCCTGTATAGCTATCCTTACCTCAACTAGCAAAAACCCCTGGTCCTCCTTATTAATGTTTATACTCTCTCTTTAACAAAATTAGAGATAAGGGCAAAACAGTATCTGCTTGGAAGCGAAGGGGTGGGGGCTAGAGAGGAGGTGGGAGGAAAGGGAGGGAAAGGGGGAATGGGGGAGTAATGACCCAATCACTGTGTGCACATATGAATAAAGGAAATTTTAAAAGAGCTTTAAGAGCTAAAGGGAGTAATGAGTTACTGCCTGTGACACGGCTAGGAGTATAAGATAAGCAAGTGAATATAACGTAATAGAGCATTGCCATTATTCTCAAAGGGCTAGGAATACAACTGCACCCTGTCCCCACTTTTAGGGCCAAGCCCTTGTCCTGAGCTCAGACCCTCATGCGTCCATGCTCCTCTGCTTACCAAGGGGTTGTGATCTGTCCCAGTTAATCCACTGTAAGTTGAAAATGCACTTAATGTACCTAACTTACCCACCGTAATAGCTTAGTAACACATTCCACTACAGAGCTAAAAATCTTGACGTCCCATTTCTACTGAATATACTTCACTTTCTCTTAAAGCAGAAAAACACTTCAGATCCATAATTTCATTTCTTTTCTTTCTTTTTTCTCTTTCTGTCTGTCTCTGTCTCTCTGTGTCTCTCTGTCTCTCTTTCTCTCTCTCTCTCTTTTGTACTGAGGTATGATCTCAGGGCTTCATATTTGCTAGGCAAATCTCTGCCATTTGAGCCCTTTTTGTTTCAGGTTATTTTTTTTCTGCCTGAGGCCAGTCTTGAACCACAACCCTCCTATCTATGCCTCCTCTGCTTAGCTGGATTGACAGGAGTGTGCCACCTTGTTTTATTGAGATGGGGATCTCACTAACTTTTTGCCCAGGCTGCCTTTGAATCGTGATCTTCCTGATCTCCACTTCCTGAGTAGCTGGGATTACAGATATGAGTTACCCTGCCTGGCCAGATTCATTATTTCTTAAAACTAATTCATTATCTTTGTTTGCTCACTTTCCCCAACCATGTCCACTTTCTTGTTCCCATTTTCCATTGAGTACCTTTGACTGAGCAGAGCAGTAAGCCAAGTGTGCTCTCAAGAATTCTCAGTTCACAGCCTCCATGTACAGTTCTAAGGTCCAGTAGGCTCTCTTGAAGACTAGATTTCATGAGTTTATGTCTTCCTTACTATCTCAGCTGCTACTACCACAAAATCACTCACCTAGAACTATCTACCAACCCATGAAGGGGCCCATAGTAGAAACCAGATATCCTCCTTAGGGTGGCGAGAGGAGAGTAAGTGTCACAAGATGAGGACACAATGAGGAGGCAAGGTTGTTGTGGGAGAAGGACACCATGAGAGAGAATCTGTTTCAGAAGAGGATACTATGAGAGGAGAACCTGTGAGCATGACACAGACTCCTCACAGCGTCCTCCTCACCATGTCCTCCTCACTGACACACCTCTCCTGTACTCCCTAGTGTCTTGTCTTTGACTTGCAGTGACAGTAGTGGTGTGTGTAGACTCCCAGGACTAGGTGGGTCCTAGGGATGCCTGCATGGTCTCCATGTCAGATTCAGGGCTGCTCTCAGGAGCTACCTCACACAGCATTTCCTGCACTACCTTCACTTCCCCTGTATTTGTGGCCTCTGGAAGTAGGATCTTTCCTGCTGTCCCTTCAGCCATAGGATCTTGAGGAAAGGAATCCTCAATCTTGTCTTTGTGTTTTCTACATTTATGCATTATTTATTTGCAGTATTCATGCAAGGCAGGAAGTTTTTTCTTCTCTGTTTACAGACAAATAAACTGAGACCTGGAGTGTTCAGAGCAATGGGCACAGCCTGCAGGTTACCAGGCAGGATTTAGAGCTAGTCTGTCTACCCCAGGCCCTTCGTGCGGTGATGCCTTGTAATGAATGTTGTACATGTACATGAATGTGTACATGAATGTACACATGAATTCTTAGTACATCTGAAACTCTAGGGAATGTGGGGGTTGGAGGACCATGACCCAGGTCACAGAGAGTGGTAGCCAAGAGTGTTGAGCAACACAGGAAGAGCAGCTCTGGGAGGCATTGTAAAGAGTTCTGTTTTCCATTCTGAGCAGTTTAGGTTTAAAGGTGTGAAAACAGGGAGCTAGCTACTAGTGGTCTTCATCAAGGTAGTTTCCTGAAGAGGTCTTCGTTTTTAGTAAGACAGCACTTGGTGGAAAATGGGTTAGAAAGCATTGGACCTCAAGCTCAGGAAACTGAGAGAGGAGGCTCACAAGTCAGAACGAGCAATGAAGAGAGGGCAGGACCGAGGGGCTCCAAATCAAAAGTCGGGGAAAGATTTGTGCTGTATTCCTGAGTATAATTGGGAGGTTCGTGGGTTGAAGTGAAGAAAGGAAAAGAGGATACTGTGAGACTGCCATGAGAGCCTCTCCTGCCTGCAGGGTCCTTCTGAGTCCAGCATGCCACCTGAGTCCCTGTGCCGCCCTCTAGTGGCATTTCATAGTGAGAAGGCACAGTATCCAGGGTCTTGTCCTGTAGGGCAGGGCTCCTGATGGAACAGCACTTGTCTTGCTGGTGGAGGAGGCACAAGCTGATGAGGATGAATTACAGTGAGTCATGGGGAGGTGTGTGTCCGCGACACATCAGAACTCCATGGAGACAAACGTGTGCCACGTGCCAAGATGGGAACTGTAACTCCCTGGCCTTGTGAAGTGTAGCATCTCAACTCTGAGTTAAATTTGTAGTCACAGCAGCAAAGAAAACATAGCAAAGGGAGATACAACAGAAGATGAATTGTTGTCATTATACAGGAGTCTTTTGGTACTTTTGCATACCGTTGTCTGTAACCTAAAGTATTGCTCATTCGTGATATGATCTATCCCAGCGTTTTCTGTAACATTCTTTTAACTTTACATATAATCATTCATGATAAAAAGTTAATGAAATGGTGTAACTCGTGGCCCTACTTACAAATGGCATAGAATTGATTCCTAACTTCCTCGGCCCATCAAGCATCACCAGTGCTTCACTTGGTATACATCAGAGGAAAAATATCTAGAGGAATTGTGTCAGACCACATAATCAAAAAAGTAAACCATTTTTAATTAAATAATGTGTTTGCTAAGTGAATAGAGGTGAACTTTGTATCAGTTCTATAAATTAATGTATGGTTTCATTGTCTTTTGACTAATAATAAAACTTTTTTATCTCAGATCTTTGATATAAGCCATTTATAGAACTTCCTTATTGTATCTTTTTTTTTTTCAAATGAGAATGGCATAAACCAGTTGTCACTAATCGTGGTTATTTCACTTGTACTGCCTGAAACTAAGGAGCCCTCTACTCAAGGTGTACCAAGCACAGCCACTTTAAAAGAGCCAGATACAACTCTGTAAAGCTTATGAAACTGACTAGCATCCCTGATAGCATCTGCTCTTTGGATCTTGTAAAACTGTAATGTATTATATACATTGTAAGAGCATTTGTCAAAACAGTGCCTAAAATAGTAATCATAAAATAAAGGTGGGCTGGTGGAGTGGCTCAAGCAGTAACATCACCCACCTAGTAAACATGAAGTCCTGAGTTCAAACCCCAGTGCCACCAAAAAAATAAAATAAAATATAGGCCTTCCTTTTTTTTTTTTTAATCAGATATCACATGTGTCAAAGAAAATAAAAATAGTGTTAAGTGGGTGTTTTGTAACCATATGTAAAGCCCAACTTTCCTTAGAATTGGTGATAGCATTGTGCAGTCACACTCACCACTGCATCCATGTAAGGTGGTAGGTGGTAACTCTTGGCTTGTGTGCTCTGAGGCAAAAGGCAGGGTTCAAGCACAGTCACTGCAGCTCCTGTGCTCATCCACAGGGCAGATAATGCTCCTGTGCTGCACTTGTGTGAGACCAGGTAAGCAAGTCAATGCAGCTATTGCACGTGACTTTGTACATTAAGTAGGACACAGAACACTCAGATCTACTGGCAGTCCTGGTACGTAACTGTTCTAATGCTTCTCTCTGGTCTGCTGAGGAACAGGCATTGTATAGGACATCCTGACTGTTCTCTTTTAGAAACTTGCCCAGGGACACTGTCTCCTTTGTCACAGACAATGGGTGCTCAAAGCTAAACACACCCAGAGGACCTGTTTCTTGTAAAAATCCCAGATTGTTCAAACTAGGTTTTCTAAAATTGGTGGTTCATGTTAATTGGTGTCTAGTTGGTGTCCTTCTCCAGCATCGCCCTGTACGGCGATTGTGAAGATGGAGCTCAGTTTTCCAGTTTTATGCTTGTCTCTGTTAGGACAGGCAGGAGGTGCATTTGTGCCACATAACCGCCAGACCAAGCCTAGACTTGTTTCATTTACATGAAGCCCCAAAATCATTAAAGGCTGTGAAAAGGGAAATGTGAAATATGCTAGAAAAAAACACTTCTAGACACTAAGATCAAAATGGGCAGGTGTTGAAGAACATTCTGCAGGCACTTTCTGTGCCAGCAAGTGTCCCAGCCATGAAAAGTGCACGTATGTGACCCACAGTGTGGCCTTCCTTATGTTGTCCGTGTTCACTGCTGTATTGTCTCTATCATAGGAACTCTCACTCAGAATGAGATGGTGTTTAAGAGGCTACACCTGGGCACTGTCTCCTATGGAACTGACACCATGGATGAAATCCAGAACCACGTCCTGAATTCCTACTCCCAGGTACGTGGATGTGCCTCTACACACAGTCTTCTCAGAAGCATCCAGCACTGTTGAGCTAAACTGAGCCTGGTTATGTGCTGGTCTGTAAGTTAGCAATCTCCTCTTGATGATTTTATCTTTTATTATTGTTGCTTTAGTCATCAGTTCTAATATCTCAATCAAGCATTTCATCAGTATAGTCATAGGAGGCATAATGGCCCAAAGCATTCATTCATGTTAATTTTGATTAGTGATTTTGATTAGTTCTTTAGAAAAAACTGTCATTTGGTAAATAGTATTTTGAAGGTTATTCAGCAGAATACTGCATCAGTATGTTAACATCCTTGTTTTTCTCCATAATAAAACATTCTTAAAAATTTTAAAGATAAATTCTTTCTTTATATCTTTTTCAATAACAGAAGTAGACACTGTGCCACCAGTACTATCCTATACTTTCACTCAGCTCTGGTGACTATCAGCACATGAAGGGTTGTTTTGTTCACATCCACTCTCCCTGCCATGTTATTTTGAAGTGAAGCGCAAATATCCCATTATTTTATCTGTAAAGATCTATTTATTAAAAGACATTACTGCCCCATAAGAGCTGAGGCTGCAAGAACAGGAGTTACTTGCTTTACACATAAGGACGCAGCCTAGAGGTCATGCTGTCTTCAGAGGTTTACAAACAGGCATGATGCAGAGGGGAGCCCCTAGCCCGACTCCTCTCCTCATTCAGCCATGCTAGGACCCCTGTGTGAGTGGGCTGTGTTCAGATCAGATTGATGGTGGAGTGTGAGAATCTTTTTTTTTTTTTTCCTTTTGTGATGGGTTTTTTCGAAATGGGGTCTCAAGGGCTAGGATTATAGGCGTAAGCCACCAGCACTGATTGAGAATGTTTAGACCTAGTAGTTTAAGGGAATATATGTAAATTCAAGGTCCTGGACAGTAGTGTGTCAGGAATTGTCACCTCTCAGGCTGCTTCTCTGCCTCTGTGCTAGTGTACTTTGAATACAGCAGTCCATGCTGTTTTGAGTCAAGGCTGCTCAGGTTTAAAGGTGTGCAGTGCTCACTTGGGTGGTTACAGCTCAACTCTCAGAGCATCATATCTGGTGTCTGGAACCTCAGCTGCACAACCAGGACACTTTTTGCACTTTGAGTACTTTGCTTCAGACTTGATGTTGCTTGGACTAAAATGCACGTTTCCTGTGTAGAATTCAGTTGTCAACAGTGCATACAACTTTTTGAAAACTTTATTTCCTCTGTAATTACTACTCTGTCATATTCTTTACTTTGAGATGTTGACAAATGGAAAAAAATCTTTATGTGTATGTGTAAAATCTGTAATGTTTATATACACACACACACACACACAGAACTGAATATCTCATTCATATGGATGTAATTTACTTGCTCACTTTAGATACTCACTATTTAGTACATTTGGCAATAATCCATGTAGATACCAAGTATTAAGTACTCTAGAATGTTTATGTATCTGTTTTTGCAGTGCTGGAAATCACACAGAGCACTGCGCATGGTTGGCAAGCACTGTGCACAGCACGGAGCCACACTCAGCTCTAGAGTATTTACCAATAGAAGAAAAACCTAAAAAGCACAAAGAGTAAAGCGTCCAGACTGAGGTAGTATCAGGTAGTAGCTGTTTTTTCAAAAGCTAATTTACATTATCAATGAATATGATTTTAGTAGTTCCAAATAAGGTTTTTTTCTAGGAAAAATTAAAAGCAGAAAACATGAGAATCGTCATATAAAGAAAACAGGTATTTAACATTTATTTGCACCATATAAAGATGTGTTAGTATTTAATATTTATACCTAAGAGGATTTTAAAGATCATTTTACTAAAAGCTGTAAATGGACTTTGTATTTGAAGTTGATGTTATTCCTTGTTTGCGCTCTGTTTTATTGTTACGGGGCATTAAGTGGAGGAGGTCCACTCTAATGTAGCACAGATCTTTTAGAACCTGATGATATTGCCCCACTGAAAGCATAGTCTTTAATGGCATTTGTGTGAAATTAAATCGCACCGTTTTATCAGTGGATGTCACATCTTCTGCTGCTGGGGTGGCAGGGTGTGAGTAGTGCAGATGCAGGTTGACATGCTACAGAGTGCAGAGCATCTAAGCACCAAGTGTGAACCCCTCTGAGGCACCACCATAACTTGGTGGGCAGAAGACTTATACTCACTGGCTCAGACCCCTCCAGTCTGGCTTCTGAGGACTGTTGTGAGTCTCTGACATTAACAGGAGAGTATGTGCCAGTCCTGTTGGGTTGAGCAGTATTGTGTGACTCCTGCTCAGGTAGGAGCTAACTAACAGAACGCTATCACTAGTGGTGACAGTTCACTCACACACAGCCACTGAGCCCAAAGGGAGCCAGACCCACAGTGCACAGTGGGCAGCTGTTCCACCTGAACGTGACTTTGAAATACAGACAGCCTGGTTTTCCTCTGAAGGCACCCACTACAATATCTGGGCATTGTTAGCTACAAACCCAACCATCTAAATTCAAAGACTGTTGTAAGCTGATTTGTTTATGGTATTAGGGAAGGAGTCTTTAAAATTCTGTCCTGCTATTAGCTTTATGTTGTTTTATGTGCAGCATTTTTTTCCTCAGAAAACTGAAAGTTGTGTGAGTAATTTTCATTTTTGTTCTTTAACTTACTTGGTTTTTAGGAGGCATGAGCAAACAGGAATTTTAAGGACTTAGGAAAGTAGTGCTGAACTGAATAAAGCAAAGCAAACTCCTGTGTTAAGTATGATGGCAAACAATGCAGTAATCTGACAACCTATAAGTAGCTTAGCACTTCACATTGCTGAGACAAGAAGGAATTCCTTTTGGTGGGTGCTGTGTAGGCAGCAGAGGAAAATCACTTTTCTCATCTCTAGCTACTTACTTCATCTTATAAATTAATATATGCTAACCCTCTGTTGCCCACCTCATTCTGTCTGACCTCTAATTACATGGCATCATATTTTAAAGGTTCATCCCCAAGCATGTGGAAGCAACCCCAGTTCAGCTCCACTGAGAAGAACCCAGTCTTCAGCCCCGAAAGTTAGAAAAAGCGTCAGCAGCCGAATTCACGAAGCCGTAAAAGCCATTGCCCTGTGTCACAACGTGACCCCTGTGTATGAGGCTCGGGCTGGTGTCACTGCAGAGAGCGAGTTTGCCGAAGCAGACCAAGACTTGAGTGATGAGAACCGCACCTACCAAGCATCCAGCCCCGATGAGGTCAGTCACCTTCCTGAAGGAATCCATTTCAGGAGGTTATTTTCCACAGTGCAAACCCGTGTGATCCATGCATTTCACTTGGCCTCAACAGGCATAAGGATTGGTCTGTCTGGAGTGAGGACAAAGGGGCTTCTAGTGTGGGAATAGCCGAGGGCCTGAGAACCATAAGCTCCTTCCAGTGTGTGTCCCCATGGTATAACTCAGGCCTTTCGGATAGAGATCCTCAATCCTAATGAGACAGAATTGGTTATAGGAAATAACATGAGAAAAATCAGAGTTGTACCAGTTTTCTAAAGTAACTTGTGACAAAGCCTGGGTTTAATAAAGCCATTAAACCCTGGGACTATTGTATGTAACCTCATCCAGTTTTTCCATCTCCAAGTGAATCATCAGGTTTGCATATTACATTTTCAGTTATTTTGTCAGAATGTAGATATGAATTTACTTATAAAAGAGAATTAGGATGTAAATAATTTCAAAACTATAGGCCTGTTAAAAGTCTTACATATGATAAATGGATCATTTTCAGCTTTACATCATTCTTTGCTTTGGGGCCTGGTAAAATTCATTATTAATTATTTTCCACTTCCTGTGCAGTCTTAGCATTTATGCAGTCTTAAATATGCCTGCCACTCAAGGTGCTTGTGATAATTCTGAAAAGTAATCAAACCAGCCATGGAAACAAACGAGCTTCTGTAAGTACCTTGTAAAACTAGGTCATGTAAGTAAATACAAAGGAAAAGCCCTAGAAGTCTACCTGATATGTAGACAGAACAGAGAACCTTGCTGACGTGAAATCCAGTTGTGTATACATGCTGACACGTAAGGTGCAGGAGTGCTGATTTCCCACAGGTCTGCTGTGAGCCGGCCTTTCTCCATCTGAATATCCAGAGCTTTCCATGTCCACAGTGGAGAGCTACCAAATCTTGTAAACCTTTCCCTTTGACATCAGAATTGAAGGCTAGTGTTAAGATGGTGAACAAGAATGGATGTGAGGATGTGCTATCTTCTCCTGCCGGTGTTTAGGCTTCCCAACACTTTGGATTGCTCTCAACAGTCCCTCCAGAAGCTGAGAGGGAATTTAAAGGCACAGGACCTTATTTGCCTTTTCTTCTTTTTTTTTTATTTTTCCTCCTTTTTTTTTTTTTTTTTTTTTTTTTTTCAGTACTGGGGCTTAAACTCAGGGCCTACACTTCCAGCAACTCCACCAGCCCTTTTCTTTTGTGATGGGTCTTTTCAAGATAGGGTCTCTTGAACTATTTGCCCAGGCTGGCTTCGAACCACGATCCTCCTGATCTCTACCTCCTGAGTAGCTAGGATTACAGGTATGAGCTACTAGTGCCCGGCTCATTTACCTTTTCCAACGTCATAATGATAAAGATGGATAAAGAGAAACCCCAGGTATGCCAGAGATTTGTGGCGTTTTCACAAAGTATAAATCATTGCTATTTTCTCTTTTAAAAGTTTATTTTAAAGCTTTAGTTATACAGACATTTCCTTTTTTGTTTATTCAGGCAAGATATCTTATTCTAAACAAAATAAACCATAGCAGGTCCTTGGCATTTGCCACCCAAAAGCTTAAAGGTGGAGCAAAAACAGACAAAACATGAGAAGCTGAGAACATTTGGTTATTTGCCTCCCCCAGGACTAGGTGTATCATAGATCAGCTTCTTGTCTTTCTCCCAGGCCTGCTGCCTTCCTCTTTTCCATGCAGTCAGTTAACACTGTGTGATCCCACTGCCCCGTGTGAACCTGCATACTTTCCTGTTCTTCACCTTGTAATCCCAGGAGCTGCCCTGTTTGATTGAGTCTCTGCAACTCCAGCTCTTTCTCCGTTGTACTGAGCACACTTGCACGTGGCCATACAGCTCTCTCTGGAGCTCCGCCTCCCAGCGGCCATTGACTTTTGAGCCCACAGTGCCTTCTCATGACCTGAAGCCTCTCCCTTAACCCGTATGCCTGCAGCCTCATCTCTGGACCTGTCTGCCCCATCGAAACTCATCCAGAATGTTCTCCCTGACCATAAGCAGCCAGTCACAGTGACTGTGTCTGCATTAGGTGGTGTTACCACCTCTGGACTAAGGCAAAGGAACTTTTGCTTTTTTCTAAATACTGTTTTATTATTATTATTATTTGAAAATTTCCAGTAACATTACTACTTTCATAATTAGCCTTTTTTAGTCAATAAAAAGGATGATTGGAGCTAAAGGAGCTTTGTGACTTGGTGCTAAGCTACTACCCTGGTTGTCAGCTGCTATGTGCTGGGATGACTCCTGAGGTTATTACTGCCTCTGTGACCTTGAGACCCCCCCACCCCTGATCCCATGGCTCCCCAGTAGGGTCTTCTGTATGGGCTCTCTCTCCTCTCATACTGCAGGTTGCTTAAAGAGGAGTCTTATAGATTAAATATGAAGCCTTCCCCACAGGCTTCCATATTGACTGCTTGGTACCCAGCTAACAGTGCTATGTTAGGAGATGGGACCTAGCTGGAGGAAGTAAGTTGCTGTTGGTGAGTCTTGGGGGTGGGTATCTTGTCCTTGGACCCTGCCTGTCTCCCACTATTCTTGTCTGCCACGAAGTGGACACATGATCCTGCAACCGTGATGTTCTGCCCAAGGGCCTGGGGCCACACCACTGTGGACTGAGCCCTCTGAAACCATGAGCCAAAGCAAGTCTTTCCCCGTGTAAGTTGTTTCTGTCCAGTATGTTGGCCACAGCTATGCAAAAGCAACTAACACAAACAAATGGTACCAGAAAACTAGGATCATTGCTGTGACTAAATCTAATCACGTGGTTAAGACTTTGGAACTGGCTTATAGGAGAAATCTGGAAGTGTTTTCAGAAACAGGCAACAGTCAGCTTAAAATGCTATAAGCAGAGCTTGATGGGTGCTCAGAAGAGCAGAACACCAATAGGAACACAGGCAGTAAAGCCATAGGCCAGGCTCAGAAGGTTTCCAGTGGGAACAGGACTCTATTGAGAACTGGACTAGAAGCCATTAATATTACATTTCGGCAAAGAATTTGTCTCCATTTGTCCATTTCTTGAGACTTTGAAGCTGAATTTAAAAGTAGTAGACTAATTAATTTGGAGGAAGAAATTTTATGACAGTGTAGCATTCAGGCTGTGGTGTGGTTATTGCTGGTTGTGGTTAGCTAATGTCTTACAATAGAATTGGGAGCAAAAAACTGAGCAGAAAGATGTAAAAAAATGTAGTCTGGCCATAAAAGGAGTGAGTTGAAAGTTCTGGAAAAGGAAGGTGTGGTTGCTAAAAGAAACCTAGTACTTTGCGCTGGAACAATAGGAAACCTGCCTTGAGGCTCTCTCAGGAATTGACCTCACTCATCACAAGATGCAGGGTGTGAGATGGTAAATTCATTTAAAGAGCTTCCCTTGAGAAGAGAGAATCTGGGGTAGCACTGCACACACTGGGCTACCTAGAGAAGTGTTTTCCTGGGTTCAGCCACACAGTCATTCAGAGGCCATTGGAGTTACAGTCCACAGGGACCAAGATGCTGCTCAAGCTGGTGGTAGACTTTGGCATTGCCCAGTAATGCTTGTTTTACAAGTGGGCAAAATGCAAGAGTTACGGGGTCATGGAGACTTGGACCCAGATTTCAAAGGCAGGCTTGGAGGCCAGGCAGTGTGTGACAGGGTGAGGTGTTTTCCTCATTGGTATATCATGAAACTGATGAAGAACTTAAGCTCCTTCTTGTGAGTCACATTGCCACTTCTCTTACAAAACGCATTCATAATCTGTGAAAATTAGGACTTGTTGAACTATTAGTGATTTCTGAAATGCTCCAGAATAAAGGGGAAACTGGTGATATGCAGGAGGTGGTGCTCCATCTTTTGCTCACACACTGCAGGGTAGCATTCCTCATTGCTTAGTTGCTGGGCACTACCCTCAGGCTCCCCTTACCACCACCACCCTGTGCCTCATCAGTTATGTTGGTTGGCAAATATGTACTCCTCTCTGGTAGCCACTCCTCTACGACTTCTAAATTGGAATGTGTCACAATTTTTATTCGGTAGTAGGGGACCTAGGATGCACAATCACCAATCATAGGCAATGTGTGGATCTAAAACTGAAAGATGTTAAGATTTATATTAATCTCAGTCTTCCAGCGTAGGCTTTGAAACATATGCAGAGGTAACTGCTTTTTCTTTTAAAGAAAAAGAAAAGGTTTAACAATGATGAACATAGTTCATTCTATTGTAGTGTTGCAGAAATCCTCAACAATTCATATGAGAAGGAATTATTTTCCCAGTCATGAGAGTGGGAATTTTAAACCAGAGATTTTCCAAGGAAATCTTATTGGAAGTTTAGAAAATAATATTTTACACATTTACCTTATTATCTACCAAAAGAAATATAAATTTTGTTGAAAGTTGGGATTTTTTAAGTTCTTATATGTCATAACCTTTCTTAATGCTTAACTTAGGAATTCACAGTAGAGAGAGACCTCAAAGATTACTTACTAAGAGTTGTAATTTCATAACAGAAAAACCACTCACCCTATTTGAGTTTTTTGACTTGTTTAGAAAGTGGACACTGATTAAAAGTAGCAGGACATCATGGATGTGAAATATCCCTGACACATTTTGAATCTGAAAATGAAGACAGTGGCTGCATCATAATTTTCCAAGAGCAGTATTGATGTGATGTGTGCAGATCCCAGAGCCTCAGGAAAGTCATCTAACGGGCTGTTGTTCAGCGTATTGAACTTTGCAGCTGTTAGGGTGAAGGATGGTAGCAATGTTTCCCAATCACCAAAGTACTGTTTTAAAAGCATTTTTTATTGAATAAAGTGCTCAGAATATTACACCCTGGAGCTTTATTTAGGGAAGTGGTTCAATTGATGTTTTCTGTTTAACCTCAGCTCTGACCTATCACAATACATGTGGTTAATAAGCAGCGTTATCATTTAAGAGACTTGACTAGTTGTATACATTTCTTATGAGTGCCATTCTTACAGACCTATCAGTTCAGGGCACTT